GTTTGTAAAACTTTTATCATTGCTAATGATTATTTCTGTAATGGGAACAAAAGCTACACAAATGTGTCACAAAAGCTGTATTCTTTACAGAATTAGAGACTGTCATGTGTTGTCAGTGTGGCTTTCTGAAGATAAAGTAATAAACTAAATGTATTACAACTAGGGCCGGGACTTTAACGCGTTAATTAAGATTATTTAACGCCACAAAATTAGCGCGAAATTTTTTTTAACGCATTTTAATCGCATGTGTATTTTCCACCGCGGAACGTTCCTCACGAATGAGTTTCAGACGGACCGTTTATACTGGTGCGCCACCTGAGCTCCGTGACTTTTCTTGTTCAAAAGTAGATTATAACAAGCATAGACCAACTCTAGGAGAAGGAGCAGCAACTCCTGTGAGCGGAGGAGGAGGAGGAGCAGCGAGACACAGGTGTGTGAGGAGGAGGAGGCGGAGGAGGAGCAGCGAGACACAGGTGTGTGAGGAGGAGGAGGAGGAGGAGGAGCAGCGAGACACAGGTGTGTGAGGAGGAGGAGGAGGAGGAGGAGCTAGACACAGGTGTGTGAGGAGGAGGAGGAGGAGCTAGACACAGGTGTGTGAGGAGGAGGAGGAGGAGGAGGAGCAGCGAGACACAGGTGTGTGAGGAGGAGGAGGAGGAGCTAGACACAGGTGTGTGAGGAGGAGGAGGAGGAGCTAGACACAGGTGTGTGAGGAGGAGGAGGAGGAGGAGGAGCAGCGAGACACAGGTGTGTGAGGAGGAGGAGGAGGAGCTAGACACAGGTGTGTGAGGAGGAGGAGGAGGAGCTAGACACAGGTGTGTGAGGAGGAGGAGGAGCAGCGAGACACAGGTGTGTGAGGAGGAGGAGGAGGAGCTAGACACAGGTGTGTGAGGAGGAGGAGGAGGAGGAGCTAGACACAGGTGTGTGAGGAGGAGGAGGAGGAGGAGCAGCGAGACACAGGTGTGTGAGGAGGAGGAGGAGGAGCTAGACACAGGTGTGTGAGGAGGAGGAGGAGCTAGACACAGGTGTGTGAGGAGGAGGAGGAGGAGCAGCGAGACACAGGTGTGTGAGGAGGAGGAGGAGGAGGAGGAGGAGCAGCGAGACACAGGTGTGTGAGGAGGAGGAGGAGGAGCTAGACACAGGTGTGTGAGGAGGAGGAGGAGGAGCTAGACACAGGTGTGTGAGGAGGAGGAGGAGGAGGAGCAGCGAGACACAGGTGTGTGAGGAGGAGGAGGAGGAGGAGGAGCAGCGAGACACAGGTGTGTGAGGAGGAGGAGGAGGAGCTAGACACAGGTGTGTGAGGAGGAGGAGGAGGAGCTAGACACAGGTGTGTGAGGAGGAGGAGGAGGAGCTAGACACAGGTGTGTGGGGAGGAGGAGGAGGAGGAGGAGCTAGACACAGGTGTGTGAGGAGGAGGAGGAGGAGCTAGACACAGGTGTGTGAGGAGGAGGAGGAGGAGGAGGAGCTAGACACAGGTGTGTGAGGAGGAGGAGGAGGAGCTAGACACAGGTGTGTGAGGAGGAGGAGGAGCAGCGAGACACAGGTGTGTGAGGAGGAGGAGGAGGAGGAGGAGGAGCTAGACACAGGTGTGTGAGGAGGAGGAGGAGGAGGAGCAGTGAGACACAGGTGTGTGAGGAGGAGGAGGAGGAGGAGGAGCAGCGAGACACAGGTGTGTGAGGAGGAGGAGGAGGAGCTAGACACAGGTGTGTGAGGAGGAGGAGGAGGAGGAGGAGCTAGACACAGGTGTGTGAGGAGGAGGAGGAGGAGCTAGACACAGGTGTGTGAGGAGGAGGAGGAGCAGCTAGACACAGGTGTGTGAGGAGGAGGAGGAGCTAGACACAGGTGTGTGAGGAGGAGGAGGAGGAGCAGCGAGACACAGGTGTGTGAGGAGGAGGAGGAGGAGGAGCTAGACACAGGTGTGTGAGGAGGAGGAGGAGGAGGAGCTAGACACAGGTGTGTGAGGAGGAGGAGGAGGAGCTAGACACAGGTGTGTGAGGATGAGGAGGAGGAGGAGCTAGACACAGGTGTGTGAGGAGGAGGAGGAGGAGCTAGACACAGGTGTGTGAGGAGGAGGAGGAGGAGCTAGACACAGGTGTGTGAGGAGGAGGAGGAGGAGCTAGACACAGGTGTGTGAGGAGGAGGAGGAGGAGCTAGACACAGGTGTGTGAGGAGGAGGAGGAGGAGGAGGAGCTAGACACAGGTGTGTGAGGAGGAGGAGGAGGAGCTAGACACAGGTGTGTGTGGAGGAGGAGGAGGAGAGCAGCTAGACACAGGTGTGTGAGGAGGAGGAGGAGGAGGAGCTAGACACAGGTGTGTGAGGAGGAGGAGGAGGAGCAGCGAGACACAGGTGTGTGAGGAGGAGGAGGAGGAGGAGCTAGACACAGGTGTGTGAGGAGGAGGAGGAGGAGGAGCTAGACACAGGTGTGTGAGGAGGAGGAGGAGGAGCTAGACACAGGTGTGTGAGGATGAGGAGGAGGAGGAGCTAGACACAGGTGTGTGAGGAGGAGGAGGAGGAGCTAGACACAGGTGTGTGAGGAGGAGGAGGAGGAGCTAGACACAGGTGTGTGAGGAGGAGGAGGAGGAGCTAGACACAGGTGTGTGAGGAGGAGGAGGAGGAGCTAGACACAGGTGTGTGAGGAGGAGGAGGAGGAGCTAGACACAGGTGTGTGAGGAGGAGGAGGAGGAGCTAGACACAGGTGTGTGAGGAGGAGGAGGAGGAGCTAGACACAGGTGTGTGAGGAGGAGGAGGAGGAGGGGGAGCTAGACACACCCACTAAGCAAGCCGACGTTGAATCAACGTCATTTGAACGTCGTTGTCCGACGTAGAATATTAGTCACTGGTGGGTGCAGAATGAAAGTTTTCTCGACGTCGTTTCCCGACGTCACCTCAACCTCCAAATGTTACGTTGATGGCACGTCAATTCAAGGTTTGAATGTGGTACAGAACCGGTCGGGTCTGACGTCCTATCAACGTCTCATATGACCAAAATATTGACGTTTATATGACGTTCGTTTTCAGTTGTTCCCACTAAGCAAGCAGATGTCAAAACTATGTCATTTCAACGTCATCTGGACGTTCATTCAAGGTTGTAATGTGGTACAGAACCGGTCGGGTCCGACGTCCTCTCGACGTCTTATATGACCAAAATATTGACGTTTATATCACGTCCATTTACAGTCCTATTGACCTCTGTAGAATGACTTAATAGTCGAGACATACTTTTTGCAATAGGCAAGGCAAGTTTATTTGTATAGCACAGTCAAAACAAAAGGAAACTCAAAGCACTGAACAAAAGAAACAATCAAACAAGGCATTACAATGATAAATATTGACAGTAAATTAAAAAGATACAAATAAAATCTCTCAAAAAATCTCTCAGTTGAAGCAGAAACAGAAGTGTTTTAAACCTGGATTTTAACATTGTCAAAGAAGAAGCCTGTCTCACATTTCCAGGAAGACCGTTCCAGATTTTAGCTTTGTGAATCTGAAATGCAGCTTTATCATGTTTAGTTCTGACTCTGGGCAATAAACGATAAACACAGCATTCAAAAATCATTAGAACAACTGTAGTAGAAGGATATCAGTCATTATTGCAAATGGAGCTGCATTAAAAATCATGTTTCTCTACATCAAAGTACAAGTTAAACCATAGAGTGTTATGAACACTACTGTACTGAACAGTTCATGCCAAAGTAAAAAAACATGATTGTAGCACCTATGTTTGGATCAGTATTAAAACAGGCACAAGCTACACTCTAGGTTCCCCAGATGTAAAAACACAATCTGAAAGGCAGAAGAATGCATTTATTGAATGTTGATGTTCCAACATGTGTCCTCTCTTGGTCTTCAGTCTCTCATCACAAGGTCCAAGCACAGCACCTGAAAATGTGGAACATGTTTAGTTTCAACATAATGTGGCAAAGTGATATAACAACACATAACTTTCTATTAATGCCTCAAACCACTCGATCCATCACCATGTGATACAAACCTTGGCACTGCACTAGCTCGAGACACTGGAAGACACTCAGTCTGAGAAACTTGGGATAAGGCTTTGGTCATTGGAGTAATTCCATGTAAAAAACAATTGCAAATGTGCATTTGTTTTGCACATGGACAAATGACCCTGAAAGCTACTTACCCTGTATTACTCTATATGTTGCATTTCCGAGGGGGCATTTTCCCCTTGTTGCTCTTTTCCCTCATCTTGAGTGAGTTGCTGAACAATCTGAGAAAAAGATAGATGTTTTCAAAGAGAATACACCAAATAATGGTTTATTCTAAAAACAACATATTAATACAGAACAACAATCAATGTGTGAGAGTGTGATTCTTACCTTTGAACACCTTCAACACAGTCTGACACCTGTAAGACTCAAACACACATGACACATTAGGAATACACATAGAACATTAGTTATTGCAACAATCATGAAATTATACTCTATGGATTTCACAAAAAATTGACTGCATTAGCAAAGGTAAATGTATTTTAATTATCATATGGCTGGTTTTAAAGTTTATAAGAAAAAGTAAGAAATTGAATAGAGTTGCAAGCGCTAGTTAGCTTGCTACCAGCAGATGAATGGATATTTAATATTTGCAGCTAACAATAACAAAAATAACAACTGTAGTGGCTCATTTGAACAGCCACAGTGAGAAGAAGTGAAAGTCTCTGACATTGAAGACCTGGGAAGACATTAAATCCATTTATTAAACAAAGCAATACATGAACATTAAACTCTCTTTCTGCAGCAGGTAACATCTGTGTGCTCCTATGGTCCCACATGGTCCCACATGGTCCCACACCTGAACTCAACTCCAACTGATGACATCACAGGTGTCTAAATGATGGGAGTGTCCCAAATATTAAAGCTGATCTCCCTGTTTTTAAACTTAGTTTACTAAGTACTGTTGTCTTTTTGCAGTTTATAAACCATTGTGAAATATACAGTAACTTTACATTTTAGAATTGAATTATTATTTTAAAACTCAAGAATCT